AGTATGAGAGACACTAGGGACTCAGAGCTTCAGTGGGATGGGAGCCCAGGATGGTTGGTTGTTCCTTAAGGAGGTGATCCTCCAAGCTCAGAGGGAGTCAGTCCCAACACAAACCAAAGGGGGCATGAGTGCTAAAAAGCCCTCTTGGCTCAGTAAAGGCATCTAGGAGGGCCTGGGGGCAAAAAAGGTGGCATACAATCAGCGGCAGCAAGGGACAATCACCAAGGAGGATTACACCTCCGTTACTCATGATTGCAGGGAGGTGGTTAGGAAGGCCAAGGCAGAGACAGAACTAGGGCTGGCGACCAGAATTAAGGATAACATAAAGTCCTTTTTCAAATACATGGGGAGTAAGAAGAAGGCACCGGGTAATGTGGGGCCCCTACAGGACAGGCTTGGCAATCTTGTGATTGCAGCAAAGGAAAAAGCTGATCTCTTCAACGAGTTCTTTGCCTCCATATTTCTGAGCAGGGATCGGGACAGCTCCCCCACTAGGATTATGGACAGGCTCAGGGGACACGACACCATGTCTAGGGTCAAGGATGATCTAATTAGGGAACTCGTGGAGGTGTGGGCGTGTTTAAATCAGCAGGTCTGGGTACTCTTCATCCAAGGGTACTGAGGGAAGTGGCGGGGGTCATAGCAGGGCCCCTGGCACAACTGTATGAGTGCTTGTGGTGCTCTGGCCAGGTCCCAGAGTACTGGAAAAGGGCTAATGTGGTCCCCATTTACAAGAAGGGGAGAAAAGGGGACCCTGGTAACTATAGGCCAGGTAGTCTCACCTCAGTTCTTGGGAAGACCTTTGAGAAAATGATCACATCTGTAGGGGCCTAGCATGGGAGGTAATGCTCAGGGGCAACCAACATTGGGTCATTACGGGCAGATTCTGCCTGACTAACCTGGTTTCCTTTTACAACCAGGTCACAAAGTCCTTAGATGCGGGCGTTGAAGTGGATGTCATCTACCTGGACTTCGAGAAGGCCTTTGACAGTTTCTCATCCCATTCTAATAAAAAAACTAGGCGACTGTGGCATTGATGCCTACACAGTCAGATGGGTGGCAAATTGGCTCGATGGTCGCACGCAGAGAGGGGTGGTGGATGGGTTGTTTTCAACCTGGAGGGATGTGGGCCATGGAGTTTCCCCAGGGCTTGGTCCTCAGGCCTGTGCTGTTCAACATCTTTATCAGCAACTTGGAGGTGGGCATGGAAATCACACTGTCCAAATTCACTGATGAGACACAGATCTGGGAAGAAGTGGGCAGACTGAAGGGGAGGGACAGGATCCAGCTAGATCTAGACAGGTTACAGAGGTGGGTGGATGAGAATAGGATGGAGTTCAACGCAGACAAGTGCAAGGTGCTGCATCTAGGGAGAAGGAACTGCAATATACCTATAGGCTGGGGAACACCCTCCTCAACAACACAGTGGCTGAAAGGGATCTCGGAGTCATTGTTGACTCCAGGATGGACATGAGCCGCCAATGTGAGGAGGCAGTCAGTAAAGCTAGCCACGCCATGTCGTGCATCTACAGATGCATCACAAGCAGGTCCAGGGAGGTGATCCTTCCCCTCTATGCAGTGCTGGTCAGGCCGCAGTTGGAGTACTGCGTCCAGTTCTGGGTGCCGCACTTCAAGAGGGATGTGGCTAGTAGCATTGAGAGGGTCCAGAGGAGGGCCACTTGCATGATCAGGGGGCAGCAGACCAGGCCCTACGAAGATAGACTAAGGGCCTGAATCTATTCAGCCTCCACAAGAGAAGACTGAGAGGGGAACTGGTGGCCATCTATAAACTCACTGAGGGGGACCAGCGGAAAATAGGTGAGGCTCTGTTCCCCCAGGAACCACCTGGGATAATGAGGAATAATGGCCACAAATTGATTGAGAGCAGGTTCAGGCTTGATATTAGGAGGCATTACTTTACGGTTAGAGTTACCAGGCTCTGGAATGGGCTCCCAAGGGAGGTGGTGCTCTCCCCTACCCTGGGGTTCTTCAAGTGGAGGTTGGATAGATATCTGGCTGGGATATTATGATCCCAGCACTCATTCCTGCCCAGGGAAGGGGGTTGGACTTGATGATCTGTTCAGGTCCCTTCCGACCTTAGAAACTATGAAACTATGTAGTACTATGTTTAGTAGCACAATGTGTAACATCTGTTTAGTTGCATGTAGGATGGCAATCAGTTTGGCTGGCAGGCCACTTAACGAGTTTTGGTGAGCTGTTCAGGACCACACACACAATCTTTTGGAAGATATTTTAATAAGTTATAGATAAAAAATGTATATACTAAAAATCAAACATTACTGTAACATTTTAATTTTATTTCAAAAAATATTTTTTTCCTGATTTATGTTTTTTGAGGAGTATAGATAGAGGCAATTGCATAATAGCTCAAAAGTAAGCCTTTTGTATATTGTGTGGGGGCAGGGGTGAATATGCATGTGTGTTTGTTTTTTTTGTGGGGGGAGGAGGGGAGCTGCCTATGCACTAGGTCCCAGGAACTGCCTGGATATGGGGGGAGGCAGGGAAGGGGGTGCAGCTGCCCCCACAGCACTCTGCATGGGGTGAGTCTCACTTAAAAAACCCACCCCACACTTCTGCCCGTGCCCACTGATGGCACTGCCCTGCCCCGGCTCTGGCCCCAGCCAGCACACAGCGCTGCTGCTGCAGCCACCCTAGTACTGCTCAGCTTCCCCCAACAACCACAAGTTGATTGAGAGTAGATTCAGGCTAGACATCAGGAGGCACTACTTCAGAGTCAGGGCGGCTAGGATCTGGAACCAACTTCCAAGGGAAGTTGTGCTCACTTCTACCTTGGGGGTCTTCAAAAGGAGGCTAGATAATCACCTAGCTGGGGTCATTTGATCCCAGAATTCTTTCCTGCCCATGGCAGGGGGTTGGACTTGATGATCTGCTTAGGTCCCTTCCGACCCTATCAACTATGAAACCTTCAGCAGCTCTTCCGCCACCTCCTGCCCCGGCTGCAACCCTTGCGGCAGCAAGTAGCGTGTGGAAGAGGGGGCAGCTATAGGGACATGCACAGGGCGCCACGCACCCAGCCAGGCAGAAGGGAAGCTGTAATCAGGCAGCTCCTGCCCCCAGCAGACAGGGTGCCAGCTCTTGGCCACCTTCCATCCACTCCACCCATCCGGCACAATGAGCAGCCACCTGCAAGCAGTTGAGTGGATGGAAGGTGGCCCAGAGCTGGAGATGGAGCCCTGTGCACTGGGGCAGAAGACACCCAGCTGCAGTTTCTGCACTGCCTGGCTGAGCTTATGGTGCCCAGCATGCATCCCCATGGCCCCTTCCCTTTCCCACTGCCTGCTTCCTGGAGTGGGGAAAGCAGAAGCAGGAGGAAGAGCTGCTGGAGGCAGGGTATGCCAAGCAGTACCCAGGTGGCTGTAACAGCAGTGCTGTGCAAGCTGGCCAGGGCCAGGACAGTGCCATTGGCAGGTGTGGGGTGGGTGCAGGCAGGAGCACAGCGTGGGCTGCTCCAGGTGGGAGCAGGCACGGCTCGGCCCCATGCAGAGTGCTGTGGGGGCAGCCTTAGGCCAGATATAATCAATTGGCAAGCAGGTCATATTTTGTCCACTAAAGGGTTTCTAGGAATCCCAGAATGCTCCGCTCTCCCTTCCCTCTCAGCCGCTTGGCGAGTGTCTGGTTCCCTGGCAGCTTACCCAGCTGTGGCCAGCTGTTATAGGGCCCTGAAGGGACCTTTTTGCCACCAGTGTGGGAGGCAGTGGTCAGAGCAGTCACTGCCACCACAAGAGTACCAGGAAGAGCCTTTGTTCTCCTGGCAGCCCTGACATCTCTTCTGTTCTGCTGGCACAGGAATAGTAGGAAGAGCCCAATGATGATGCATAAGTGTTGATAGTTGGGGGGCACAACCCCATGCCACCACTGTCCCCCTTGCTGCCCAGTGCTAGCTCTGACTGGGCTGTGCTACCCTGCAGTAAGTGCAGAAATTGTACCGCTGCTGCCCTCCCCACAGCTGCTCCCTGCCTCTAGCTGAGCTGTAGCCCTGTGCCCCACCATCGGTGTAGAAATCTCGGGTGGGGGGGGACACACATGCCCCCCAGCCCACACACATCACCAATGGAAGAGCCCCATTTCCTGCCAGGCAGAGGCAGGAAGATCTGCTGCTGGCTCCACTGAATGCTAGGAAGAGCTGTGCCTCCCTTGGGCTCTTCCTGCTGCCACAGCTCTGGCAGGAACAGTGAGTGCCGCTGATCACTGACAGCGTGCTGGCAAGGGCAGACGGTTAGTAATGGGGCTCCTGACAGGTTCCCCTGGGGGAGGGGAAGCAAAAGTGTAGCTGCCCATTGTCTCCTTGGCTGGAGATGGCACCTTTGAGGCAAGCTTGTAGCTCTCCAGTCAGGGCTGGAACATCTGTACACCCTGTTTTTGTAGTGCTACATGTGACTGTCTGTTCACAGCCTTGATGCCTACCACTAGCTACAGAAAGAAAAGGAGCTAGAATTTCAGAGGTGCTATGGTCTCTTGGAACTGCAGATGCTCAGTATCTCGAAACATCATTACACTTTTGTTTTAGTGCCTAAATAAGAGTTTGTTGAATATCCAAGTTTGAAAATGCTGACCAAAGTCTTTTAAAATAACTTGCCCTGTTATTTAAATATTGTAAAGATTTAACATTACATTTTAATAATCCTAGAATTTAAATTGGTTCAAATGGTATTTGTACAGTCAAAGTTGAGGGGTTCAATAAAATATAGACCCTGAGAGACGAACAGCAATTCCAGATAAGTAAATAACTCTTTTTCCTCAGCATGTCTAATTTCCATGAGTTTCAAAAATCTTAATACTGTTCTTGTTCCACAAGTTTCAAAAATCTTAATCTCTAATATTGCTGCTGTTGACTGGTCAGCTCTGTGGGGGGAAAAAACTGAGCTACGCTTGATCTGAGCTTTCAAGAGGCTGAGGAGTGATAGTTTGACAGTTCCCAAAACTTCTTCCCAGCCCTCTTCTCTTTTTCCTGATTCCAGGCACAGGATGATGCCAGGCAGCAGCTGCGAGAGTTTGAAGAAACTAAGAAACAGATTGAAGAAGATGAAGATCGGGAAATCCAGGAGATCAAGATCAAGTATGAGAGACGACTTCGGGAAGAGAGAGAATCAAATCTTCGATTGAAAGGAGAAACGGGGATCATGAGGAAAAAGGTAACTGCTCTGTCATCTGGAACAGGCTTGGCACATGGAATATCAATGCTGAGCGTAGTGGGGGAGATGGGCAGGCCTATTAGCATAATGTTTGTGTTTATTTCTGTGGCACTTTTGTGGCAAGACATTTGTGGCACTTACTGGCATAAGTGAGTAGTTGCCCCTTTCTATGACGGTTTGGTCAGAAAAGGAAACAAAATGCTACTTGTAAAAGATTGTAAAAGATTAGAGCCAGTGCAGAACTGTTCCACTTAATACATTTTTTGGTGCTCTGTATAATTTAGCATACTATATAAATAATATATAACAACAATACCGTGTTTGAGCCCACGAAGATGGGGTTTTCTCCCTCTATTTGAGAAACTTTTCTGCAGTCTGATGCATCTTACTGACAGGAAGATGTTTCTGGTATTCAGCCAAAGTTTGTCTATTCCCAGCTTTCTTAATTTCACTCTTTGGTAGAACTCTAAATCATTTCTTTCTCTCCTGGTATTTCTATTCTTCATATATTTGTGGAAGGTCATCATATTAATACATCATCATGACACTTCACCAGCTATTTTTAATTTGATGATACTTAGTTAGCAGGGCAAGCTAAGCAACAGTTGCCAAAGTATAAGAGAAAAGTCGACCCATTCAGATCTCTGAGGAGTGGGTGCAACCTGTTGTGTGCATCTGTCATTGCTGCCAAGATCACCATCCCTGATCTGGTGGCAGATCGCTATCTACCATCTATCTGATTTTGGCCAGGGCTGGGCAAAGTTTTTCTTTCTATTTCAGTAGTTCCCGATTCATAGATTGTAGGGCTGAAAGGGACCTCAGATGATTCATCCTGGCAGGAAAGAGGACCGAGGTCAGATGAGCCCAGCCAGGTGACTATCTAACCTCCTCTTGAAGACCTCCAAGCTAGGTGATAGCACCACCTCTTTTGGAAGCCCATTCCAGATCCTGGCCACCCTTACTGTAAATTTCTTCCTAATATCTAACCTAAATCCACTCTCAACTAGTTTACACCTGTTATTCCTAGTCACTCCCTGGGGCTCCTTAGTAAACAGCGCTTCTCCTATTCCCCGTTGACCTCTCCTAATAAATTTATAGGCGGCCACAAGATCTCCCCTCAGCCGTCTCTTGTGAAGGCTGAAGAGATTCAGCTCTCTCAACCTCCCCCCGTAGGGTCTATCATGAAGGCCACTAATCATGCAAGTGGCCCTCCTTTGGACCCTCTCCAGATTCTTCGCATCCCTCTTGAAGTGTGGCGCCCATAACTGGACACAGTACTCCAACTGCGGCCTGACCAGTGCCGCATAGATGGGGAGCATCACCTCCTTTGATCTATTAGTCATGCACCTGCTAATGCATGGCAAGGTGCGATTGGCCTTGTTGATGGCCTTGTTACACTGCCAACTCATGTTCATCTTGGAGTCAATTATGACTCCAAGATCCCCCTCTGCCTCCGAGCTGCTGAGAAGGACACTCCCCAACCTATAGGTGTGCTGGGGGTTCAGGAAGGACAACTGGGGTCAGATGACCCCAGCAAGGTGACCGTCCAGTCTCCTCTTGAAGATTTCCAGGGTAGGCGATTGCACCACCTCTGAAGGGAGGTTATTTCACAATCTGGACACCCTAGCTCTGAAGAAGCTTTTCCTAATGCTGAGCCTGAAACAGTCTTCAAGGAGTCTGTGATCATTACTCCTAGTTTTCCCCAAGGGTGCCCTGGTGAACAGTTATGCACCGAGCCCTTGTTTTACACCCCTGATGTAGCAGTAAACTGTGAGGCGGTATCCCTCACTTACTTATATTCAGGACATTGAAGTAGAAAGTGCCTTCTGGGCTTTGTGTGTCTCACATTCCACTTGTAGTCTGTACTTACTGAATCTACATTTGGTGAGAAGTTCCTTTTTCTCTGTTTTTGTGCTTCCCTGTGCTGTGTACATAGAATAGTCTCACATGTAGTAATGTCCACATTTTCATTTATATTCATAAGGCACACTCTGTGCTCCATGAAGTCTTCACTAACTTTCCAGCTCTGCATAGGTTTGAGACTCTTCCTTTGCTGGATGTATTTTGTACATTTGAAAGTTTGTCCCTACACCAAAGACACATTTAGTCTTTATCTGTACAGCACCAAGCACATTACTGTTACTCAGTGAAAACTATGTTGTCCTTCATGCCTTAAACTACTCTCACTGTTAAATGTGGGGAATCCAAGACCATCAGGTTCTGCAAATATAAGTCTTCATTTAAAAAGCAGGAAATAACTCCCCTTCAGTGTTGTGAACCCCTGAATGTGAGCAGAACATGATGCACATGATGCGATCTTCCAGAGTTTGAAGACAATTAAGGGCTTCTGCTATTATTCAGAGTTTCTCCAAGAAGCTCCAGTGTGCAGTTGTCAGAAACCTCTCCAGTTGTTTAGAGCATTTTGGGTAGTAGTGACATGAACCAGATCTATGCTCAGGGGCAACCAACATGGGTTCATTAGGGGCAGGTCTTGTCAGACCAACCTGGTGACCTTTTATGACCAGGTCACCAAATCCTTAGATGCAGGTGTCGCAGTGGATATAGTCTTTCTGGACTTTAGGAAGGCCTTCGACACGGTCTCTCACCCCATCCTCATAAAAAAACTAGGAGATTGTGGTATTGATGCCTACACAGTCAGATGGGTCACTAACTGGCTGGTGGGCCGCACCCGGAGGGTGGTGGTAGACTGGTCTTATTCGACCTGGAGGAATGCGGGCAGTGGGGTTCTGCAGGGTTCAGTCCTCAGCCCCGCACCGTTCAACATCTTCATCAGCGACTTGGATGAGGGGGTGAAAAGCACCCTGTTCACATTCACAGATGACACCAAGATGTGGGGAGAAGTGGGCATGCTAAAAGGAAGGAATAGGCTGCAATCGGATCCAGACAGGTTACAGGGGTGGAACGATGGGAACAGGATGGGGTTCAACACTGACAAACGCAGGGTACTACACCTAGGGAGAAAGAACCAGCAGCATACCTACAGGCTGGGGAACTCCCTTCTCGTCAGTGCCAAGGCAGAAAAGGACCTAGGAGTCATTGTTGATGCCACAATGAACATGGGCCGACAGTGTGGGGACGCAGTCAGGAAGGCCAACCGCACCTTGTCGTGCATCCACAGATGCATCTCAAGCAGGTCCAAGGAGGTGATCCTCCCCCTCTGTGCGACACTGGTCAGGCCACAGTTGGAGTACTTTGTCCAGTTCTGGGTGCCGCACTTCAGGAGGGATGTGGACAGCACGGAGAGGATCCAGAGGAGGCCACCCGTATGATCAGGGGGCGGCAGGGCAGGCCCTACGAGGAGAGGCTATGGGACCTGAACCTGTTCAGCCTCCACAAGAGAAGGCTGAGGGGGGATCTAGTGGCAGTTTACAAACTGGTCAGAGGGGACCAGCAGGCATTGGGAAGAGTCCCTGTTCCCCCGAGCGCTACCAGGAGTGACTAGAAACAACAGACACAAGCTAGCGGAGGGTAGATTCAGGCTAGACATTAGGAGGCACTACTTCACTGTCAGGGCGGCTAGGATCTGGAACCAACTTCCAAGAGAAGTGGTGCTGGCTCCTACCCTGGGGGTCTTTAAAAGAAGGCTAGATGAACACCTGGCCACGGTCATTTGACCCAGTACCCTTTTCTGCCATGGCAGGAGGTCAGACTTGATGATCTGCTCAGGTCCCTTCCAACCCTACCAACTATGAAACTATCAATACCATGTTATAGTTACTCGGGGTCTTCAAGCATCAGAAGCAGACACAGCTTCTGATTTCCCTCCAAAGTGGTCCAGACTTCCCTCATTCTCCACTGCAGTGGATAACTGCCATTCTTTCCATCAAGCAGTCCTTCAACCTCAGGTTTTTTGTAATCCTCCCCATCTAATCCCCAACCATCCAAATTTCTGTCTTACTCTGTAACATGCCTGACACCTGCCCTTTTCTTCCTGTCCACAGCACAAAAATTCACATTTAAGCACCACACATCTTAATTACTTCCCTCTCCCTCTCTCTAGTCCTCATGATGTCCATCTCACTTCCTTCCAGACCTTACAAAATGCAATTATTAAGGTCAGACAGAAGGCAGGGCAGAATAGCATCTTAGAGACTAACTAGTTCAGAGAGGCATGAGCTTTCATAGACAACAATTTTGCATCAGAGAAAATTAATACTTTTTTTCCATGTGCTTCTCCAGTTCAGCAGCCTCCAGAAAGAGATTGAAGAGCGTAGCAGTGACATTGAAGCAATGAAAATAGAACAGCAGAAGCTGCAAGGCATCATTAAGTCATTAGAGAAAGATATCTTGGGACTGAAGAGAGAGATTCAAGAGAGGGATGAGACCATTCAGGACAAGGTGAGGTACAACTGACAGTCTGAATGGCTTAGGCTGTCACCCTCCCCTCACTTGAACATAGCTACTGGCATTAATATTTGGTGCCTCTGGCCAGCACCACAATACAGTCAGCAGGTCTGATTGTGCTGAGCTATCCATGATCTGGAATGAGAGTACAACCCCCTTCTTGGAGACCTTACAACTTACGTTTTAAGGGCTTCGTGTGCCATAGCCCCCACATCCCCATCTTTGATGGGGCACCAGGGCTCAAGGTTGTGAGTTTCTTATCCCTTGCTTGGATGTGTAGCTGATGTCTGTCATTCTCTGCTGCCTGCCTATGGGGATTTGTGACTAAGGTTTCAGTCTTCACTGGTGCTAGCCTTGGACATTGTTCAAATCCTAGGGAAGCACTGAAAAAGGGTCCAAACCCCACCTTAAATGGCTGCAGTATAAACTTGGCAGGTGTTACAAATGCCATATTCAGCAGAATGTTTAAAGCTATTAACATACCCAGCTAAGCAAATAATATTTGCAACTTAGGTTAATTAAGAAATAAATAACAGAATATAGACTAAGACCTAGCAAGCTAAGGTTTAATTACTAATAAACTATTGGTAAACAACTAAAATGATGTATAATTGTATTGTTCTAATGATGCCTATTTTTTCTTGTAAAAGAACCATGCAAATCAAACCTGACATGTGCAGGGTTGGTGTAGAGTTGGGCCTCTGGCTTTTGCCCTATAACTCTGCCATGTCTGATTTTCAGTTGACCCTTGCATAAAAATTGAGACCTAGCATATCTCTGTCTGTTTATCCCAGGAGAAGCAGATCTGTGACCTGAGAAAGAAAAAGTCCAAGCTGGAAAAGTTCAAGTTTGGGTTAGCTTTATAAAATAAATAATATTTAGGGAAAAACCTGTTTTTCCTAAAATTGAATCTGAAAATGTGGTGTTGGCTTATATGCAGGGTCAGCATATCAGGACAATGTGATATGCACTTACATGCTGTACACTTAATTATTTTGATAATGATTAGCAAATGATGTAACCTTCTGTAGTTTATGGATTGCTATGCTGTAGCTGTGTGCTTATACCTAGCCTTCTTAATCAAGTTGTTACAAACTTTAGAGATGAAAGTGAAGAGGAGGGTAGCTTTTATTAGTGGAACCATGCAGTGAGGAAAGGAAAGGAGGAAGGTGATACATTCTGGACTAGTGAGAAAAGGGTGAAAAATCCTTCTTTCAGTTTTACAAAGACATACATTTGGGGTAATTGACTCCTTCCATGATTACTGAAGACCAGTTTTAGGCTGGTTCCCAAGGTTCCCAGAAGGACCAAAGGAGTTAACACTAGCCAACCTGAATACATTTGCTAGTTAAGTACCTGGGCATGATCAGAGGGAAATCAGAAGGAGGTACAAATCCCAGAAAAGATCTGTTGCTGGAGTGTTCACCCCCAGCAGGTAAGCAACTCCATTCTCTGGGATGTGTGTGATGTAAACAATCAAAGGCAGGACTCTAGAACTGCCAACCAATACACCTGTAATCCAGGTAACATGACTTTTAGTCTCCAGAGAATCTGCAGATGCATCATCTGTTTCCTATATGTTCACACCCCATCACAGGGTCTGTTTGAGAGGTCTTATTCTGATCTAGCCACCTGTTCTGAGGCTTTTTGGTTAGCACTGACTTGGTACATTCTGTCTGTTCCTCCCAGGAGAAGCGGATCTATGACCTAAAAAAGAAAAACCAAGAGTTAGAAAAGTTCAAGTTTGTATTAGATTATAAAATAAAGGAGCTGAAGAAGCAAATAGAGCCAAGGGAGAATGACATCAGAGCTATGAAGGAACAGATCCATGAGGTGAGCATCACAGTCTTCAGTCCATGCTAATTGTGCTGTTGGATGCAGGATGCTTTTTCTATTGAAAAAATAAATTCATGCAGAATAACGCCCCTTTCTCCTGCCCTTCCTCCACTGTAGACAAAATTATAGACATTAAACACAAATTCAACAGTGACTGATTGGTGGATTCTCTCTCACTTGATTTAAAATCACAAGCTAGATGCTGGTTAGAAAGATAGTAGGGTTGGAGTGTTGTTTTAACTCCAGAAGCAAGGGTTTTATTGTGACAATTGATCCAATAAAAAAAAAAAATTCCAAAAATTCTGACCTCTTTTAGGAAGATATGCATTTGCAAAACATGTTATGGTGTTCTTATAGGGGTAACCACACAGTTTCATGGCCTTTAATTTCAGAATGTCAAGTTAGATCATTCCTCTTGGCCACAAACTTTCTGAATTTCACAGTTATGTCTGTATTAAATGCAGGTTATGACCTCAACTAAGCATGTATCTGTTTCACCAGCACATTGTAAAATGACCTCAGTACTCCTACTTATTACTCCCCTATTTATATGTGGTAAAATTATATTATCCTTGTTTTGCCCAGCACTCTACTGGGAGCTTGCATGCAGACCTTTGGTTCTATAGGCCCATTCAGAATCATTGCTTTTCAGGGTACAGTCCCTGTTCAGGAGACAGAATCTGCATTCTTTGTTCCTTTGCAACTCTGCATTTGCCTGTATTAAATTGCATTTGCTTAAATTGGCTGAATTTACCAAGCTATGTAAAATGTCCTATCCTCCTTATGCATCACAGTGTTAATCAGTTTGTTGTCTGCATCTTTTATCCACAGTGATTTTAAATGTACTTCCAGGATAAGGATAAAAATACTGAATAGCGTTGGACCTAGGACTGAATTCTGAAGAATGCCACTGGAAGCCCTTATCTGACTTGTTAGGCATCTCCATTGACAATTATTTCTTGATGTCAGCTTTTAATCCATTTAAACTATGTTTATTTAATAGTACTATTTTTAATCAGCATTTCATGTACTGTGTCGAAGTATATTACATCTATATAGTTAGTGTCATCAACCAAACTTGTAATCTCATCAAAAATGAAATCAGATTTGCTTGATAAGATCTCCTTTCCATAAAACCATGTTCATTGGCATTAATTTTATTTGCAACCTTTAATTTGATTTTTTTATCGCCTTTTCTATTATTTTGCTTAGTACTGATGTAAATCTAACCAACCTGTAATTACCAAGGTCATCCTTGCTCTTGTTTAATATTGGCACAGTATTAGCATTCTTCTGGTGTGTGGGGCACAGAAACAGTTTCACGTAATTCCTTGCCTGTAGAAATGAATTGTATTTTACATTACACTGAGTTTCAGATAGGGTGCCAACACCTGTTGATTTTAGATGGGGCTGAGAGGTATTTAGCTATGTTACTCTGAAGACAGGCAGAAGGCAAAACAGGATGGTACCTTTAGGGACTGTCTGTTTCAGAGAGGTATGAGCTTTCATAGGCAACAACCTACTTCATCAGTTGCTATCTGTAATGTTTACTCTAGGCCAGGGGTAGGCAACCCCCAGCACAGGTGCCAAAACGTGGCACTTGAAGACATTTTGCTTGTCACGCATGCCTTTGGGTTGCATGCCAACATCTTACAAGCTGAAGTTGTGGGTGTTCTTGGCACTCTGCCCAAAAATGTTGCTGACCCCTGCTCTAGTCCATTGGGTTCCAGGGATGGGGTACTCACTCCGATCTGTGTCCCTGGGATTCTGTCCTCGAGTCAGCATTCAGCAGAGACAGGTAGGATGATAAACAGCTTTGTCTTTTTTAGGAAGCAGGATTCAGCAGTACACACACTCACAGCTTGCAGGGAGAACCCCCACACCCCAACCAGCCCCACCCTCAGGGCATCTGGGGGAAAACTGGACCGTTCCACCGCAGGCCTCTTAAAGGTATGTTCCATATACAACACTATCTGTGTTGTTCCTATGAAAACTCAGGTGTCTGAACCATCCAGTCTCTAAGGTGCCACACGGCCCTGCCTTCTTCCTGACAGGACTAAGGCAGCTTGACCAACAACCAGCCTCCATAGAATTTCCATCAGAGTTTGCAGGGTTACTACCCGGAGTTCTCTTCATTTGTTTATACAATGCTGCTTTTTTGGACTTGACATCTAGATCTGATGCTCGCTTTGGGAGGATAGTTCTAGGTTCATACAAATGAAATGTACAGAACCTGTTTAGAAGTTAAGTAATGGTGGTTCCTTGACAGCATTGTCTGCACATCCCCATGGTTTGCCCTCTTTCTCAGTAGTAACAAAAGAAGCTGAGACAGCTTCCGCTAAGTGCTCCTTCTTTAAGCTCTGCTTGGAATATGTGGTGCCATGAAGGGATGGCCCTCGGGTCCCAAGAAGCACTGCTTATAAGGAGGTGCCAAAGCATAATCCCATGTCTGTAATGGATGGAAAATGAGTGGCCTTTCTCCTTTTGTAGAGCTGCAGGCTTTTTTAAACAGGCAAAACCACTATCTCTTGTTTTTCCAGGGGCTAAAATTTCAGCAGTCTAGATTTTTTGTATTGTTTCAGCATAAGGGTTTGCATTGATTACTTCCAAGGACTTTAATTCCTGCATAAACCTTATCCATTGATCCAGGAATGAAGTGTCTAGCCAGATCATAAAGATGCATATAAAATATATAAAGCTGTTACAGTAGGTTTGAATAATCCATGTCTCCATAGCATCTGTCAGGGTACGCAATACAGTAATCCAGGATTCCTCGGCATCCATCCAGTGGATTCTGAACTCCTCTATCAGCTGAGTTCTACACCAGCAATCTTATTCAGTGCTGTACTGTTCCTGTATTTCATAGGATCATAGGGAAGTAGGACTGGAAGGGACCTCACAAGGTCATCTAGTCCACCCCCTGCTCAAAGAAGGATTGTCCGTAACTAAACTATCCTAGTCGCATGTCTGTCTAACCCACTCTTGAAAATTTCCTGGGATGGAGATTCCACAGCCTCTCTAGGCAGCCTGTTCCAATGTTTGACCCTCATAGTCAGAAAGTTCTTCCTCATCTTGAAGCTAAATTTCCTGTGTTGCAGTTTGAGGCCACTGCTCCTAGTCTTGTCCTCTACGGCCAACAGAGAAAAATCTATCTCCATGCTCTTTATACTCTGCCTTCTGGTATTTGAAAATTGTTATGAAATCCTGCGCCCCACCACCCCCAGCTTCTCTTCTCCAGATTAAATAACCCTAGTCTTTTAGCCTTTTCTTAAGTCATTTTTCTCAGGCCTCTAATTAGTTTTGTTACTCTCTGCTGGACTGTTTCCAGTCTATCCACATCTTTCTTGAAGTGTGGAGGCCAAAAATGGATATAATACTCCAGGTAAGACCTTGCCAATGACGAATAGAGCAGGAAAATCAGTTCTCTTGATTTGCAAGAAATATTTGTGTTAATATAACCCATGATAATGTTGTTTTTGTTTTTTGCAACAACAGAACACTGTTGGCTGATGCTCAGCTTATAGTGTACTATAACTACCGGGTCTTTCTCTGGAGTACTGCAGCTTACCCAATCATTCTTCAGTCTGTATTAACGCAATTATTCTCTCCTAGGTTTAGGACTTTGCACTTGTCCTTGCTGAATTTAATCAAATTGATTTTTGGACCATTTCTTCACTCTATTTCAGTCATTCTGAAACCTAGCCCTACTCTCCAGAATGTCTGCAACACCACCCAACAGGATATCATCTACAAATCTGTTAAGTGCTCACTCAATCCCCTCATTCAAATCATTAGTGAACACATTCAATAATACAAGACCCAGGGCAGACCCTTGGGGAACCCACTTGATATCTCTTCCCAACTAGACATTGAACCATCAATGACCCATTGAGTATGATGATCCAACCAGTTGTTTATCCACTTTATAGTACTTTCACTTAGTCTGTATTTCCTTATCTTATTAATGAGATTTGTCATGAGAGACAGTGTCAAAGCCTTGCTAAAATCGAGGTATCCACTGCTCTCCCCCATCTCAAGCATGTCACCATATCATAGAAGGAAATTAAGTTTCTGATCAGTGTTAGGCTGTTTAGACTGGTGCCCTGCAAAACAGCAATCAGGACTCATAGTAGAAGTGATATCTTTTATTAGACCAACTAGATTCTTGCAAGAATCTAGTTGGTCTAATAAAAGATATCACCTCTACCATCAGTCTTGATTGATTTTGCCTCTAGACCAATATGGCTACAACCTGGATACCTGCAAAACATTGCACTCATTCATACCAGTTATTTTGTCCAGATTGTCTGTAATGGATGGAAAATGAGTGGCCTGCCTTCTTTTGTACAGGTGCAAGCTTTTTTAAACAGGCAAAACCACTATCTCTTGTTTTCGCAGGAGCTAAAATTTCAGCAGTCCAGCAAAGGGAGGGATGTTGCTTAAATATCTATCTTCCAAAATGGATTTGAAGCAGGGGAGTTCTGCACTTCCTGTCTGTCTCTGGCAGAGGGCAGTGTTGTTCCAAAATTGATTTTTTTTCCTTATTTTAGGACAATGCGGCTTAAAGGGAGGTGGTTCTATTGCCTCTTGTTCACATACATTTGCCTTCACTCAGTCTCCCTCCCAGTTCTTATGTCTACATTCTGTCTCCTTGTAGATGGAGGGGGAGCTGGAATGTTTCCACAAGCAGAACACACAGCTTGAGCTAAATATCACAGAGCTACGGCAGAAGCTAAAGGCCACTGACCGCGAGATGCACAAGGAGAGGCAAAAGGTATAGGACCTTAGAGTCAGTGCTTTTTGCTCTGTGTGGACAGGGAATATACAGAAGCTTGGTGGGGTGGGAAGAGTGTCCATCTCCTGGGTACATATGTAGAAAAGGTGAGGGTGTGGCAGGGAAGGGGTCAGGAATCTCCCAAACAAGAAAACTTTTAAGCAAGTTAACATTACAAGTGTCAGCTGTGACTGCATGCAGCCTATGTATGTTGATCTGTTGGGCATGTTTCAAGGATTGAGCTTGTTCAGGCTTTCCAGAGTAGTTAGGTAGACAGCTAAATGACCCCCCGCCTTCTTGTCCTGCCCAAGCCCAGAATTGTTAAACTCCTTGTCTAAGCACCCGCTTCCTGGGCTGAAACACTACAATGACTTCCAGTAGTCAGGAAAGCTGAAGGATGGACTTCTGCATGGAGGAGACTAGGGCATGCCAGTGTTTGAGGGAAGTCAAATCAAAGGTGAGCAGAAGGTCAGGGAAGAAGGAAGCAGAAGAGTTGACTGTGGGGAACAAAGGAGTTTGCTAGCCAAGATGGGTTTGAGGAAGCTGGAGGATGGGATTGAAACAGTAAACAACAAACTTACTCTGGGAAGAGTCAAGAGAGGGTGTTGATGTGGCACATCAAGTTGTGCACATAGCATGTGTCTGAACGTCTTGGCATCTGTTATGTTTACCTATATCTTGGATCTAATAAGATTGCAAGCTTCTTCGGCAGGAGGTGTTGACCTGTGTGTATCAGTGACTGAGGCAACAGGCTGCTAATCCTGATGGGGGCCCCTGGGCACTAGTATAATACAAGTACTATAATGTAAGTCTCTGTGGGTAAGGAGAGGTGTAACTTCTATCCCACCCACACCAACATCCAGGTCCCAGCAGGTTAGCTGTCTAGCTGTGTGGTGTCTTCATGGTGCCTTCTCAAAGAAATCAGATAAACAGTATAGGATCACAGGATAGTTCTCAGCAGCAGTTCAGACAGGAGTCTTGGGCAGTTTTGATGCATGGCAGTGCACACCAGTTGGTCATGTATTAACGTTCCTGTATAATTCCTGCAGGAGCGAGACATGGAAGCTCTTGTCAAGCGGTTTAAAACAGATCTTCACAACTGTGTGGGCTTCATTCAGGAGCCCAAGAGACTGAAGGAGGGAATCCGGGAGCTCTACACCAAATATGTGCAGCAGGCAGACATGGTGAGTGAGGGTGCCTTCCTTTCCACAGCTGATGATTGTCTCTGCTGTCAGAGCTGCTGAGACTGCGTGCTGTCTTCCATCAGGTAGAGATTGTGGGGGTGGACACAGATCTGCAGCAGGAGTACACCCGGCAACGAGAGCATCTTGAGAGGAATCTGGCAACACTGAAGAAGAAGGTGGTAAAGGAAAGTGAAATCCACCGAGCTGATTATGTGAGGATCATGCAGGTATCAGGCTCTTTTCTCTGTGGTGGGGCAGAGGGAGGGAGATGCTGTGAAAAGGAGACTTTGGTTTCTGCACTGCAGTAGGTTCTCAGGAGTTTTGGAGGATTGCCATTTGATTCCCCTCCCAGAAATTTCCCAGGTTTCTAGGTCCTCCAGTCTAAGTCAGTATTTCCTGAGATGCCAAGGAGCAGGGCTTTGGAAGTTTCTGTCTTTTCTCAAGGCAATATGTAAGAAGGAGTGAGACCCATGAGAGAAATGGTGACTGGAATAGTTGCTGTTCTGTAGAGGCCTTCATTTTGTGTCTTACTGTTGGAATATAATTGACTACATCAGTAATTCAGCTAAAACTCCTTTTTAAATCCAAAGGGCACAAATAATTATACAGTTACTTTAAATTAATGTTCTAAAATACTGTAACAAATACCAAATAAGTAACATTGCCATCTAATATATTACTGACCACATGCAAACAGTAGTTACAGTTGCAAGCATTTGATCAGAATACTCACAAGTGGGCTAGCAAGAGAAGCCACCAGATCAGCTAACATTTGCAAAGAACCTCTCTCTTGCTCTATATTATTCCCTTAGATTTCTCCTTACATTATCTTATCAGATCTATCCTGGAATTTCCATATATCTATCTTATTTCCAGAACTTTCTGTGCTTACCCTTAGTCTATTCTTAATGGGTTTTCCTAGATGTACTGGAGTTAAGTGGTTTGCATTCTAATCTTCTTGCTATTGCTTACCATCTTTCCTCCTATATTAGCATATCTATGTAGTTCCTTTCCTTTATAAAGACTTTGCACTTTCCACTCTAAGATTAGCGCTTTAACTGTCTCTGTCTCTGGTTAAACCATGGATTCTTGGGGGTTTGATCCATGTTTTTGTGTAAAAATATATTCAAACATATTATCATCTATTATATCCTTAACATGTTACATTATCTCTACAGTTCCCTTCCAAATCTCATGAGAAGGGACCTCCATTTTATGGAGATATTATGATTTTCTTTGTATAATTAATTAGATTGTAATAAAGCCACAAGTGGTGAATATCATTTCCAATACAGACCAGGGAATGACTGGCCACATTGCAGTACTGCAGAAAAGGACTTGAGGGTTACAGTGGACTATAAACTGAATATGAGCCACAGGAATGCTCCTTATATAAAAAAGCCAATAGCATTTGGGTTAACAAGAGTGTCACTTGCAAATCAAGGGAAATTATCCTTCCACTCTATTCAACACTATCTGGAGAAACGTGTGCAGTTTTGGGCCCCACACTTCAAGAAAGCTGTGGTCAGACTGGAAGAAATCCAGCCGAAAGCAACAAAAATTATTAGAAGTCTGGTAAACATGATGTATGAAGAAAGGCTGAAGCAATTAGGGTTATTAAGTCTAGAGAAGAGAAAACTGAGTGGGGAGGTTTGACAAGTCTTCAAATACCTGAAGAGTTATGTGGAGAATGGAGGCAGAATATTCTCTGCATCCACAGGGAAGAGAACAAGAAGCAATCATCTTAAATTGCAGCCAGGGAAATTTAGATTGGACGTTAGGAAAAACTTACTTACTGTAGTAGTTAAGCATTGAAAGATGCTACCAAGTGTACTTGTGCAGCCTCCATCCTTGGAAGTTTTTAAGAGCAAGCTTGACCAGTACTTGACAAGGGTGCTTCTGTCTTGAGCAGAGAGCTGAACTAGATGTGGCCTCGTGAGGTCCCTTCTTACCCTACTTTCTTATGATTTGCTACTACTTTCCTGTGTTGAGAATGTGCCGCCTTTCCATGTTCTGGTTTCTGAATGTTATAAGAAAATAACTCATGAATTTACTTCTCAATAGGAGAACTTTTTGTTGAGGAGTATTTGTTTTAAAACAGAATGAACCTGAAGGGCTTTGTGGATGGGGGAAGCAGTGAATGTGATATTTCCCCTTTAGCCAGGCTTTTGACACTGTCTTACATGACATTCTTTTAAGTAAACTAAGGAAATACACTGCAACTGCTGTAAAGTGGGGGCACTAGTTGGATAATCATGCTTGAAGGGTAGTTGCCAATAGCTCACGTGTCTAACTGGGAGGAGCTATCTAGTGGGGTACCCCAGGTGTCTGTCATGGGTCTGATGCTATTTAGTGTCTTCATTAATGAACTGCATGGTGGAACTAAGTGCACACTTAGTAAATTTTCAGATAGTGTCGATGAGTGCGGTAGCAGACACTTTGGAGGATAGATTTAGGATTCAAAATTACCTTGATAAATTACAGAAATAGTTCATAATAAACTGGATGAAACTGAATAAGGACAAGGGCAAAGTACTGCACTTAGGATGGAACAGTCAAATGCACAAATACAACAGAGTACAATTGGATTGGATTCATTAAATTAGAGTAATAAAACATCAGAAATATCATTATATCATAGTGTCCAAGCAGAACATTTTCTATAAAGAAAACTCATGTCTCATCCATCCCTTTACTATTAATGCATCCCAAGACCGGAAGGGGCTGTTGTGATCATCCAGTCAAACGTCCTGCATAACACACACCATAGGGCTTTTGCCATGACTCCTGCATCAAGTCCACAAGCTCTGACGAACAGTAGCAGAGCTCTTAGGCACGCCGTTTTGGTTTAAAGGTTTCAGGTGATGGAATAGTCACCTTGTCCCTAGTTAAGCTGTTCCAGTGATTAACTACTTGTTGTTAACAGTTTCCACTGAATTTCTACTCTGAATTTGTCTAGCTTCAGCTTCTATCAATTCAATGTTGTCATGCTTCCTTTTGCTGGATTAAAGTCATCACTAACCTAATATCCCCTCCTCAGATAGGCACTTGTAAGCTGATAGTCACCTTTTCATCCTCTCTGATAAATTAAATAAACGAAAGCTCTTTAGTCTCACTTTATGTGTTTTTTTGTTAACATTGAATTTTTTTGTAGTTCTTAACACTTTCCAGTTTTTCATCATCCTTTTTCATGTGTTTACAATTGGAAGAGGCCTCAATATCCAGAAGTAGGCTTACTTATGCCATATACAGAAAATGTAAAGTCATCACCCTACTTATTCTCTCCTGGTATAGGTCTGGTGATCGCATGTCTGTTATGCTATGACATTTCTGTTAGGGTAACGATATGGATTTTGGATGTTGGGGTAACAATATGGAATTTGGGGAGTACTGAGTGTGCAGCTGAATGAAGGCTTTTTCCTGTGTCTTAGCAAAAAGCTGGTGGTCACAAGGCTAGCTGATGTATTAAAAGCAACTAACCTGGCTAATGCTTAAGTAAGTGGATTCTTAACAAAAGGATAGGGTTCAAAGTGCATAATGTGTTAATCAACTAGTGTCAGGAGACAAAAGCAAAGATACAGCCTTGGAGATGGAGAAGTCAGCAAGGAAACCAGCAAGAATCATCGAGAAACTGCGAAGTGACCAAAAGAAGATAGGGGTCAAAAGTTTTACGCGTGCGCTCTTAGCAGAGAGGCATGTAAATGAATGAAATGCATAGGCAATACTACGCTAAGGAAACAAACAGTAAACAGAGATGTAGCTTGAGATGGGAGGAGAAATGGGTGGAACCAGAGGTGGAACAAGGCAGGGTAAATGTTGATACGTATGAACCAAGGTATAAATATTGGAAAGAACTGTTGTTCAGTGCGGTTCCCCGTATTCTGTCAGTGTGGAAGCTAGTCCGAAGCTGTCTCCATTCTGAATAAAGCTGTTACGAGCAATGTGTGCTGGTGTTTGCTCCCTGCTCTGCTCTGGCTAATGAGCAACAGGATCCATGAGTAATTGAACCATCGTCTCCCTAGTCGTTGGGCGCCACATGGAATCGGGGTCTGACAATTTCAACAGGAGCTGATAACGAGTTGTATGTCCCCTTTGACTGCCTAAATCCATTTCAGAGTCACAGGTTTTGCATTTTTAATTCTTGTTTTGTATTTTGCTATATTCTTCTTTTTCATTGTCGTCGTGTCTCCAATCCAACCTTTCTATATGGTCTGTTCCCAGTATTTTGCACAGGCCACTGCTTCTGGTGTTGGTGTTGCCAGATCTTATGGGGTGCATTGTGGTGCTACTAGGCATCTCAGGAGATGATCCATGGTTTGTTTCTCCTGATAAACGTATTAATTGGTTGCATAGGGGCCTCATGATTTCATGAGAAAGTTGCATCTGCTGAGACCCACTCTCAGCGTGTTCAGGCTCTGCCATGGAAAGGGATCTTGGAGTCCTAGTGGACTCCAAGATGAACATGAGTCAGCAGTGTGACAAAGCCATCAGAAAAGCCAGTGGCACTTTATCGTGCATCAGCAGATGTATGACGAATAGATCCAAAGAGGTGATACTTCCCCTCTATCGGGTGCTGGTCAGACCGCAGTTGGAGTACTGCGTGCAATTCTGGGCACCGCACTTCAAGAGGGATGTGGATAACCTGGAGAGGGTCCAGAGAAGGGCCACTCGTATG